GCATGTCTGTCAAAGTCATTAATAAAACTTATTTTTAAAATACATAAATAAAAACAAACACTTCCTTGGGCTTGAATCTTTCTGCCAACAATTACTATCTGTGTTATAAGTAAGTCTCTTAACTCATCTAAGCCTCAGTTTTCTTATCTTCAAGATGAGGATAATACCTGCAAATGCACACCTCTTAAAAGTGTTGTGAGACCTTAAAAAAGTGAAGGAGATCGGCCTAGCTGCCTTCACTGGAAAACAAAGCAGATGAAGAATACATCTTGCCCCCAATATCCCATACAGTTGATCACCCCAATGGGTACATACATGGATAAAGGAAAAAGGCCTTGACTTAGTATGTGATCTGCTGTGTGCTGAATGTAAGGGATCAAGATGATCACTCGAGTTCTAAGAACTAAGCAGAGATGGCCCGTCCAGGATAAGATGATGAGCTGGGCCCAGAACAGTGCAGGAAAAATGGAGCAGAACAGGGTCTGTCTGGGGAATCGTGTGGATCTTCCGTGACCCCAACTGCTCCCTGACCTGAAAACCCATCGTCTCCACAGCCCCGTGCTACCAGCAACACCACCACAACCCTGGGCTCCCCCCAGGCGGTGGGCAAGTGAGCCTCATGACAGAGTCCAATTATCACTCCCACTTTTCAGGAAAAGAAACCGAGTCTTGGAGGGAGGAAAGGATGGGCTTAAGCCCACACTGAGAGTAAAGGATAGAGCCAAGATGTGAGCCGAGATCTCACTGCAGTCTGGAACATCCCCCACATGCCCTGCTGCCCAAGCAGAGTTTGGCAAAGCCCCTGGCGGGGTCTGCTCGGATCTCATTCACACATAGTCTCTCTCTCTCTGTCTCACACAGACACACACACACAGACACATATACAGACACTCACACATACACAGACACACACACAGACACTCACACATGCACAGACACAGACACAGACACAGACACAGACACACACACACAGACACTCACACATGCACAGACACAGACACAGACACACACACAGACACAGACACACAGGCAGAGAAGGCATGACCAGTGGGCAGGCCCTCACCACTTGTCCTGCAGCTTCTCGGGCTCCTTCTCAAGGGCCAGCTGATGCTTCTGCTGCCCCATGATCCTCTGGGCCTCAGCCATCTTCTGCAGAACCTCCTCTTCTTTCTTCTTTTGCAGTTGTTTTTCCTCTTCCTGGAGGTGAGAAAGAGAGGGAGACCAGTCATGCAGGCCAGGTGGGCCAGGCTAGGCTGGGGGTGAAGTGGGCAGCGCAGAGCAAACCCTTGGCCCCTTCCAGCTCTAAATTAATGATTGTACATGAGCCATCCGTGTTGAATCCAAATTTCCAAACTGCCCACGTGGTTGACTGTGGAATGAATATTCTGGGCTAAAGAGCAATGGGGCTTAGCCCCCCCAGAAAGAGGTCAGTGAGGGAGAGCACTCATCCCCGAAAGAAGCCACCTTTTCCTGTTACTCAAGGAGTAAAGGGAGGAGAACTGTCAGGAGTCTTTGTCTTTTAGACACCGCCCCCCCCCCCTTTTCTTTTTTATGGTGCTTGGCTTGGGTCACCTCATCTGTTCCTTACCAACCATTCTGGGAGGCAAGCAGAATTTTACAGAAGAGGAAACTGAGGCAGGCAGCAGTTAAGTGACTTGCCTAGGGTTGCACAGCTACTAAGTGTTGAGGCTGGATCTGAATTTAGGTCCTCCTGACTCAAGGCCCAGCACACTGGGCCCTACAGCTAGCTGCCCCACAAGGAAGGGGCCTGTCTTAGCCCTTGTCCTGTGGGGCCTAAGGAACTGAGGATGGACAGCTCTGCTCTTGCCTCCCTGGGCCTCCATCTCTACCCACTGGGGCTTCCTGGGACATCCCAGTCCAATGGCCCCCCTCCTGCTCCACTGACCTGCTGAAGTCTCTTCTGCCTCTGGGCTTCCGCCTCCTCCAGCTTCTTAGCTTTCTTCCTGGCCTTCTCCTCAGCCAGCCGTTCCTCCTTTGCCTGCCAGCCCCACCAAGCCAGCTGGTCAGGTCACATCAGGTGAAGACCCCTGCTCAGCCCAGCACAGTCAGCACTTCCCCCAGGGCCCAGAGCCACCACTGACCTTCCTGTTCTTCTCCAGCTGAGCCAGCTTCTGCTCAATGCGTTTCTTTTTCTCTACCTCCAACTGCTCAGCCCGCTCACGGGCCTGCAGGACCTTCCAAAGGCGTGCTTCCCGCTTCCTGGGGGCACGAGGAGGAACAGACATGCCCCCGGATTTGGAGGCCCCCCCCATCCTCCCTCATCCCCCTCCCTCCCAAGGCCTCCACAGGGCCCAGGGTATGGGCAAAGCCAGACACTCACATTTTCACCTCCTCCAGGCGCCGGCACTTTTCCTCCTCCACCTTCTGCTTTCTCAGCAGCTCAGCCTCCTCCTTCTTTTTCAGGTTCTCCAGCCGCTGCCACTCTTTCTCCTGAGGAAAGAAGGGCCAGGTCTGGCTGTGAGGGAGCAGTGGACAGGCAGGCACCAGCAGAGGCCTGGGTCCCCTGA